TCTTCATATAGTCTGACGTGATCCCTACACATTATTTGTAATTGAGTTCGTCATCTGAATTCTTTAATTAAAATTGTTCATAATCTCGTCTTTCAAGTCTTCATACTTGATAGATTTGTTTAAGTTCAACGCGTAAATCTGGTAAAGTTAAGAGTTAGGCAGATCCTAACGTCTTGACCGCAGTAAGCTATAGTTAAGAAATTTCGAGTAGAGACTTGATAATGTGACCACTTTGAGTTGAAGAATTTCACAGTGACAATATATTGCAAAATCTATATATAAAAAGTTATTTTTCTACATTCTTTTACCTAAAGTTCTAATGTATTTTGTATTTCTTTTATTAATAGTATTTTTAGTTGTAGATTTCTTCAATTAAGAATATGAAAATACTAAAATAATATTTCTTTATATTATATATATTATATTATTTTTAGATTATATATACTGAAAAATATTTTTATTTTGAACTTTTTTCTTGCAAATTATATATTTTTAGTTTTAGTATAGCTAGAAAATATTTTTTAAACAATTTTATTATGTTTTATACTAAGTTTTTAGATTTCTTGAATACTTTTATTCCTTCGGTCAAAGGTTTCAAAAATGAATTGGTTAAATAATTTACTATTCTGATAAGAATTTTTTAATGAAAGTTCTAATTTGTAATGATATAATCATAGAAAATGATAAAAAATTAATAATAATTCTTAATGATATTTTATTCAATTGTCAAGAAATTTCATTCATAGTTATCAACAATAAAAATAAAGTTAAAAGATAAATAGAAAGTATTATTATATATTAATATTATTAGTAGACAAAATTACAGCTTCAAATATTACGTAAGATTTACTAATTAATAATGATCTTACGTTAGATAACGTTACTATTGTATCAAATAGTAATTACTGTATCCTTCTGATTTTAAGCACCACTTTTTTGAGAGAAAACTTTTACTAAAGTTTGGGATGATGCTTAAATTCAGAAGTTTTTTTTAATTTTTTTTTTGTGCTTCAAAAAATTTTGTACTACATAAATTTATATAAATTCAATTTTACCCTATTTTATGTACATTTTTTTCACACGTAATGCCAAAAATTCAAAGGTCATCATATTCTGCTAGTATATAAATAGTGATTCAGCTGATAAATTAGATGAATTAGAAAATGATGATGAATTATAAAATAAAATTTTATTTTGAAATAAAATATGAAATATAATAAAATTTTTTCAAATTTGGGTGGTGCTTATTTTTGTTTTTCAAGTTTTTGTGCTAAAAGTTGGGGTGGTGCTTAAAATCAGGTGATGTTTAAAATCAGAAGGATACAGTAATAATAATTTTTATTTCGCCTGATTTTTCTGTTTCTTTTATATTTTTTGTATAGCCTGTTTATTCTGTTTATTCTAAATTGTCTATAATTTTTTTAATGTTTGTAATTTATTTTATTTCTTTTTATTATTTTTATAGTTTATATTATTTTTATTATTTTATTATATTTAAGTATATTTTTATTGAAATATATATCTATATTTAGTTAATTTATAGTGTTGCAAGTAGTTAGCTGTAGTAAATTTATTTTATATAAATAAATAACTTTTTGCTTAAGTTATAAATTAACTCTTCTACAAGTTTATTAACTCAGTTATAAATTTTTAAACTCTTTTACGAGTTTCAAGTTATAAATAAAGGAATCAATTTAAATCTATACAAATTTACTTTTCCCTTCAATGTTATCCTTTATTTAGGATTTATTGTGATACCTTACACTAACTTGCTATTAAGTTCATCATTACGAGTTTAACTAATGTATCTTAAATTCTAAAATATAATAACTTGCCAAGTTTATTTAAATATAATAAATACCTATAAAACTTAGAGAAAATCCTAAAGTCAAAAACTCTAACATAAAGAATTAACTGCTGCAGCTCTTCAACTTAGACATTAAGATAAATGAAAATAAATTCAGTAATAATGTCTTTATAGTTCTCTCACTAATAGTCAAAAAGATATATAATATTATTAGATATTTAAGTATTTAATCTATGAATTACTACTATATACTTATACAAGCACAAATAAATATGAAGTCTTTCTCTTATGAACATATAGATTACAAAGTAATTTGTAAAATAGTTTATATTAATATATAATTTTTCAGATAAATATGCAATCTTTTTCTTATCAATATGTAGTCTATAAAGTATTTTATAAAATGATATACCGCATATTAATATATTTTACACCAATATCATAATTATAAAGAATAATAATATCTTAAAATTTTGCTTAAATTTTTTTACTTTTATTTCAATTTTAGATATTTCAGAATAATATTTGCTTATAGAATTTAGTTCTCTTATGTGTTGATATATTCTGTTATCTTATCTTTTAAATCTTTTGTGTGTATTCAGAAATTCAAAAATTTATCAAGTGATAGCTCATCAATACTTTCCCAAAAGATTAAATATTTAACAAATATTAGATTACATTATAAACATGTCTCAAAAAATTACTGCTACAGTTTGCCTTATCTTAGTATCTAAAAACATTTAAGCATTTAGATAATAAATACATTTTTACATTTCACTAAATAAAATATAAATATAGGTACTTATATATAATTATATGCTTATAAAAGCTGATCTAAAGGTCTAAGAGATAAATTTGAACTGGTTATTTTATTTATTTATAATACTGATTACTTTTACCATGAAAAATTCATAAGTATTTCTAAAAATATTTTCAATGTATACAAAAATTTAATGCTTAAAGTAAGTAAAACTTTATTAATTTTAAGTAAAAAAGTGAAGGTAATAAAATGCATAATGTTATTAAAAAGAGAGTATACAGATCTTAGGTATATTTAATGTGAGTCCTAGTATCAAGTTATTTCTTTGTTTTTAGAATAATTTTTACAGATAATTTATTTTTATATATATTACTAATCTTACCTATATACTGTTTTACAGTATAGCAACATGCTTATATCACAATGTCAATCATTTTACCGATCATATATAATTGAATTATCATATTATATAAAATTAGCTGATCTAAAATTCAAAGCTTTGAACAAAACAGCATATAATCAGGCGAATATTACAAATTAAAAAATTTGATATTTTGGATTATTTATAATATATTTCTAAAATAATAAATCAAGTATTTTACATAAGTTAACTTAGGGCTGAAATAAATAATTAAGTAATTTATATAATAAATTAATAATTTTAAACTTTAAAGGTTTGGGTAAAGTCACATATGCAAGGTGAATTATGCTAACCTTTATATTTCATATTTTAAGTTATGTAGAAAATCATATAAAAGTATTACAATAAAATTTTAAACAACACAAAGCTTAGCTTTGAGACAACTTTTTAAATATTTTAAATATAAATCATATATTATTATAATTATATTAATTTGCCTAATTTATTATTGTAAAACAGCCAATTTATATAATTCACTATTTTTTAAAATATGTTATAATCCCCTTGCATGCAAGATTTTTTTGATATTGGGTTTAGTAATACCCTACGGAATTATTTTAAAAAGATAAGATATAATCAACAAGTTAATTATAAAATAATCTTCTAATATTACCTCACCAATCGTTCTTTTTAAATTTGTAACTTACAGTATTCCGAATTTCTTGGGTTGATTGCTAGGAAAATCAGGTTCCGGGAATTTTTTAACAAAATTGAGATTTTTATTGCACTTTAGTTTTTGATGTTTTTGATGTTATTAGATTAAAATGTAATAAGATCTTAATTTTTTTAGTCAAAAATTTCTCGGAACCCGAATTTCCTAGAAATCCTCCCATATAAATTTTGACTTTGGCACTGGAAATGATAATGACGCTTTCTTCTTGAAAACGTGGAAGTAATGCTCTTTTTATAAAGAACTACCGGGGTATAATGAAAAGCATTGCCCAGTAAACATATGGGTATGGGGCTTCGTCAATAGAAACGCACCAACTTACTTGGTAATTAATTCTGTTTGATGGTGTGTTTCTATTGACAGAGATTTCGGGATTTAGAACTACTTTTACCATGAATAATGTTTTTCTTTTAAATCAGGACTGGTCTAAAAATAATATTGGTTTTGAATCTAATGCATCGATATTTGACGCAAAGCAATATTTTTTTTTGGAAAAAACGGTTTCAAATTCTTTATGTCATTCGACTTTGAGTATGTGGAATTTCGCTTCGAAGTATTAGAAAGACGAACCATAAGATGTGACGATCATACTTTCCATTACTGTTCTAATAGTAAAAGTCCTTTGTTTTATTCAGTATCATATTCAAGTGAATCCCAATCTTCAAGTTTCAAATCAAGGACCGCACCATAAAGTTATTATTCTGTTAAAGGTTTTCGCAATTACTATTTTTTTCCTATTGCGATATACCTCTTGAAAAACCGGTTAAATTATATAATGAAAAGACACGGGACCACGGGACATGAACGATTTACTGTTGGCCATTAAATAAATTATATAATACTTAAAAAAAACTTCAAATAATTAATCTTATAATTAAAAGATACTATATGACATTAATCAAACTAATGTAAAATGCAAAACAGCGATCCCAATCTTTAAATAGTTATTCTTAATATATAAATGATAGATTTTGTTTGGTTGATCTTTATTTATGGTGTATTTTCTCACATTCTTTTAACAACATAACGATCTAATAATCATTAAAATATGCCAAATCTGAGGGTAAATATCATAAGCATTCTCCACGATTTATTAAATTTTTTTAATGGAATGCTCACTCGATCTTAAACTTTGTTATTAGACAACGTTTACAAATATACCACCGACCTCTAAAGCAATAGCGTTTATAATAATATGTTCATCAGGGCTTGGAGTGTTACAAAATGTTAAACAATGGCTGAATATAGAACCTACTTCCCCTCCAAGTCTCTCACAAGGCTTGGCTCTTGTACCAAATTCTGCACTTTGGGAATTTTGGACGTTTATAACCGCGAGTTTTTATGAAACCAATTTAATAAACGTAGGTGATTCACTTGTTTGAAACGTCGATTATTTTTCGAATTCTGACTAATTCTTATTATCATTCAGTTCATAGGAAGTGTTCTTACAATACTTGGAATGGGAAAATATTTAGAGAGAGCATGGGGATCTAGAGAGTTTTTAAAATTTATAGGAATTGTGATGATCGGAGCCAATATATGTGTCGTTCTAACATATTTATGTGAATATGCTATCACAGGATCTCCATTTTACTTGTAAGTGACTCTGATTTACGCAATATTATACATTTTTACGCGTATCTTTAATTTCTATCTTTTTTTTTTTTTTTCAATTAGATTTCGTGTAATAAATGGTATGAATGGGTTGATTAGCGGATTTTTAGTAGGATTAAAACAATTGATACCAGAACATTTATTAAAACCAGTTAAAGGGTCATCGTTATGTAGAGTAAAGCATTTACCAAGTTTATTTATAATCGTGAATTTTGTGTGCTTTTTATTGTTTGAATCACAAACACAATTACTTCTAGTATTTTATGGTAGCTTGATTTCTTGGGTGTACTTGAGATTTTTTAAATATCAAGATGGTTTACGTGGAGATCGTAGTGAAACCTTTTCCATGGCCAGTTTCTTTCCGGAATTTATTCAGTAAAGTATATGTATAGTCGTTATATATATAATTTTTTTTTTTAATTTTGTTTTTTCATGATTACTTATTTTTTCATTTTCATTTTCATTTTTTATTTTATTTTTAGACCTGTCGTGAAAATCATTTCTAACATCGTATTTAACCTTTTGGTAATGTTAAAATGTTGTAAACCGATTTCAAAGAGGAGATTTCCAATAGACTTGGAAAACCTTCCAACGACTTATATACCATCCATGCCAGGTAGTCAAAGGGCTGAAGCGGAAAGAAGAAGGTTCGTTATACTCCTTTTTTCTTTTTATTGCAATGTTCTCGTGTAATTAAATTTTTGTCGCGTGAATTTTAAACTCCTTTACGCTTAAATGATCTTGATAGGGCGTTGGCATTAAAAGCATTGGATGCCAGATTACATAACAAATCAAATTATGACCCAATGTCACCACCGCCATTTACCTCGTCACCATCATCTTATACTGCTTCTTCATCTGACAACATTAATGGAATCACCACACAACCAAATGATGTTTTATTTGATGCAAAAGACCATTTAAAACGAGACTTGTAAAGAATAAAAAAAAATGGTGATCGGAAAGAAAGTTCTCAATGAAAACAAGTAGAAAGTACTATGAGAGAATGAACAATTTTAGTCCGTATATATACAATACACATAATATATACATGTTTCTATAATATACCTAATTACTTTGTCTTGGTTATTAAATACATATATATATCTTAGAACATTATATATTCAAATCTTGCATTGTCAATAGTAATAACTCAATAACATTTAATGTCTAATGATGAATGTAATCTTTTTTTCTTTCAGAACAAAAAGTTTATTTAAATAAAAAAAAAAAAAAGAAAAAAAAAAAAAGGAAAAAAAGGAAAAAAAAAAAGTTAATAAAGTTGATTCGGAAATCAATCATTGTCATTATTGTTTGTCGGATAAGGCCTCGCTAATTTGTTTAATGGGTGGTAATATTGGTGGCATAGTATGATTGTTTTTGTCTAGAGTAATGGACGGGATTTCTTCATGATTAGTTTCTAAATTAATATTAATAAAGTTATTGTTCAACTCTTCAATGTACGATGTCGTCGTCTCATAAGTTGCCTCATTTTCATCAAACAAAATCAGATTCTCTATAGGTTTCAAAGGAGATGCAATCGCATTCACATTAACCATTTCCATTGTCTTCAAATTTACAGCTCCGTCCATGCCCGATGTCCTAACATTCGCGTTAGTCTCAAATAATATCTTGACCTTCCCCGCGGCACTTGCCAAATCATCTTGTTCATTTAAAGATAAATCGCTTGTATTTTGGGGCTGACCATAAAATTGGGAGATGTCATCATCATATCCTTGGAAATAATATTGTTTATTATTTAAAAGGAAAGGGGAAGTAGCTGGTATAGAAGGCAACGGTGGTGAAAGTTTATTTAGTACATGTGATGCACGTTTACGTATATCTTCATCCTTAATCGTATCCAAGATGCGATTAATTAAAGGCAAACATGGCAATAATTTTGAATGTGACATTGAGGGAACTATTCCCACGAGTGAATGAATGAATTATTGATTGATTGATAAAGGTTAGCATGTAAATCTTTAAAATCGCAATTATTCAAAAATGCTTTCGATATGCCATACCTTCGGTTGATAAATTATCTAATGCCCTCACAATATGTCTTTGAATCTCTACGTCAGCAACAGGTGAATCTCCGATAGCAATGAGTGTAGGTACAATACTACCAAAGGATTCTTCTTCTGACTGTTGAAGGTGAACATCTTGTTCTATTTCCTCGTCTACCCCTCCTTTTTCATCTGTCATAGACATTGGGTAAGATAGCATACGCGCCTTATTCTCTTCTTTGGAATTCAAAATAAAAAATATGTTAGGAAGAATTAATATAAGATTGTAATTGAAATGAAGGTATTTACCGTATAGAGCGAAGTTTGCTAATAATCTCGCTACGTGTCTATATATACATATTTATTTTAAAAAAAATCGAGGGTTTTTTATTTTTTTATTAAAGAAATTCATTATTAAAATCAAATAGTAATATTTGATAATTTACCTCTGAATTTCTTTATCTGTGATAAAACAACCAACCACTTGGCATAAATTTGATAATAAAGATGGTTGACTAATCAAAAGTTGTTGTGATTCAACTAAAAATAAAAATGATGATAACGTGTTAAATGATCCAAGATATTGCAAAGAGGGAAAAAATCTTTTTTCATTCTTAATTTAATAATTACCATTCGTCGCCAAATTAGCCTAAACAAATAAAATAAAATAAGATTATTAAGATTTTATAAAGAAAACTTTTTTTGGGGGGAGGAGATAAACGTACCATAGCACAACACGCATGAGATATTGTAACTTGATTCGCTTTTGCTGAATTCTCGTCAGCAAGCTCAATAACAGAAGTTAATGCTTCGGCTCTACCATCTTTAATCAGAGCAGACTTGTATTTGTCTGGAAAATCAATTGTAACAAGGTTAACACTTAAAATTTGTAAACAAAATTTATCCCAAATCCAACCAACCATTTCTCAATGATAAATACGCAATGGATTTGGCAGCATATTTACGAACTTCATAAGAACTAGAATGTAATAAATCCATCAATCCATCCAATCCAATTTTAGGATTTTCAAAAATTAAAAGTTGGTGTGATGCTGAAAAAAAAAAAAAAATCATTAAAATTTAAATACTTTTTATCTTTGACAAAAAAATGGGGGGGGGGGGGAATATATATGACTTACGATTAACCGCTAGACATGAAATAGTTTTTGCAACCAACCCTCTCGCTATTTCAACGCGCAAGCGCATTTCTTCATAAGATAAAAGTACATCTTCATCTAATGCTTCATCTTCTGTTAGTGTTTCTAATTGAAAATTTGCCAACTTCATTATTGATTCTAATGCTCCTACATCTGTTAACATCCGCTGACATAAAGAACCTTTTGAATATATAATATTGAATTTTTAAAATCAAATTTTTTTTGAAGTGAATTTATCATTTTTGAGAGAGAAAGAAAAATTCTACCCTACCTGTAGCGGATAATAAATGAAGGATATTTCCAATATTCAATATGATAGTAGAAGCAGAATCCAAAAATTTTGCCGCATTTGAATCTAATGATGAAGTATCGGAACTTAATTTTCTACAATAAAATGATATTAAATTATATAAATAAGGAAGTCCCCCTTTCATGATAACGTAAGGTTTAAATGATTCTAAAGAACAATAAAGAGAAAATCTTTTTATTAATGACATGAATCAAATTTATTTTACTTTCTTTTGGGGAAATGAAAGAATTTACCGTATCCTGAAAGATTAGCTAATGCCGTTGTCCCTAATTGATGTATATCATTAGTATGTAGTGATCTACATAAATAAACCAACGCGTCTAATCCACCATAAGTAATGAAATTAGACAACTCATATTCTAAATGAGGACGAAACTTTTTAATACAAAAAATGGTTATTTATACAAACGAAGAAAAAACACATTTTATATTCATGAAATGAAATACCATTTCCACGTTCCACGATATCAAGTAATCCCCTAGCACCATGCGTCTACCAGATGAAATCAAAATTTTCTTTTTTTAAAAAAAAAAAAAAAATCAAAAAAAAATTTATTAAAAAAAGGTTATACCTTGGTAGATTTTTCTTCAGAAATTACATATCCTACAAGGTAAGCGATTTCAAAACATTCATTGCAAATCCTTTCAGGTGTTACATAACCAAATTGGGGCAATGAAATTTTCCTTGATGTACAATCCTGACAAAAAATATTCCCACTATATTTGTTTAAAAAAAATTTTACAAATAAGGTTTTTTTTGATATAATTGATGTATATTTTATTTTGTTGCTTACCATTGGCGACAATGATGCTAAAATGATTACACACACACATGTAAATTCGATGAGACCAAAACCAATGAAAATAAAAAAAAAAACCAAAATAAATAATAAAGATAAAAATGAACCCAAACCTTTCTTCTGAGAGCGGTGAAGCCAATACCGCAGCCTTTACAATTTTTTACGGTTACATCATCAACCCAAACAGGTCTAACCAATAAAAATCCGTCCAACAATTCATTTTGAAACAATGAAATATTTTTAGAATGATTATTAGACATTTTAAATTATTATAAGTAAGAATAATAAATAGAATTAATTACAAAATGAAAGGGAAAAAAAAACACACCAACGCAAGGTTAAAAATTAGTGTTATTTATATTTGAAAATTGATTGAGAAATTTAACCAATAAGAAAGCTCCAGGTGATGCAGTTAATCAAATCAGTATCTGCAAAATGGAAACACAAACAAATACATTATTGCGTGTAATGAATCATAACACGGGACATTCGACACAAAGCAAACCTTGTTCATTTCTCGATATCCAGATATCTAAATATATATTGATCAATCAATACTAATTCCAGCCAGTTGAGCATGCTGGTCAAATTAAATCAACATGACCAAGGTTACCCTGCCTTTTCGACTTATTTTATTTGAAGGATTTATTAATATCTGAAACGAATATTAAAAATTTTAAACGTCCGAAATAAACGGAAAATTTATTGATTGGCTATGATAAATTTAACAAGTAGAACGATGAGATTATATTAGGTAAAACATTATATTTATTTAATTCAGGCCGAAATACTTTGTCAAATGAAATGATCCTCCTCACTAAGATTGCACAGCGTCACACAAATTACGTCAACATAGAATTAAGCAAGTTTAATAAATTTGCATATCATTATCTTGTTATTTTTTTTTTTTTCCTTCAATATTCAATGTTAGGAATTAGACTTGATTTTCTGCCAAAACCCAAAATCATTGTAAATTTGTTCCGACAAAATTCTTTACAAATAATAAATAACTTTACTTATTAGCATCGTTATTTACGATTCATCCATTTTAATGAACAGATTCAACAGCACTTATCAAATCTTTAATGATCAGTAATTTCCATTCTAAATTTTAAAAACATATCATATAGGACCAATTAATTTCATAAACAAAATTGAGATCCAATAATATTTACGAATTAATTAATTTTACAAATGACCTTTTTATAAAATGAATGAAAAATATTATAAGGAACTTACACTACACGTGTCTGCAAGTAAAAAAAAAAATAAAATCTTTTAAACACGGAAAAATATCTTTAGTGAATCTCACACATTACAAGAAAGAATTTTCGTATAATCGTTTTTACCTTGAAATCTTCCAAAAATGAAATGTTTATTCTCGGGGAAATCATGAGAATCCTCTAATATAAATGATCGCATCCGCTAATCCTTTTTTAGTTAAGAGGAGTCCTTTTTCTGACAGAAAAGATTTATAAAAAGGGAATATTCAAAAGATCGAAGCACGTGATAGCACGAATTACCCGAGTTTTTTCATCGTAAAATCTTACGTAAAATCCCATTATCCCATTTGTCACGGTGATACAGGAAAAAAAATTAAAAATTTCACATTAGGATATGTGGAGTTAAGTAAAAATAAGGGGCTTAACTATTTTGAACGATGGGAAGACCCAATTATATAATCATCACAATTTCGTTTTTCAGGTTAATGAAATCGAAGGTTGAATCCTTTTTTGGTACATTTCAACCTCTTGTTTATTTTAATGTAGAAAAATGTAAGGATATAAGTTGTTTAAAAAGGTTAACCCGAATTATTAGATTTATTAAACTTGTGATATGAAATTACAAAAAACCTTTTTTTTTAAAATACCCACCTACTATTTAAATTTTTTTCATTCAAAATAATTATTTGTTTTTTTTTTTTTTTTATTTATTCACAAATTCTTATTAAAATAAAGAATTCCAAATCTAATTAAAGAAGCATCCAAAATTCACATGATTAAAATTACTCCCAATGACTTGTTCTTTGGGAATATGCAAGAAGAAAAAAATTTTTTTTTTTCACTCGGAAATAATCAACCTGCCAAAAAAAATTTACTATAATTATATTAGATCGTCGATTATGTAAATCATAATATTGTTATATTGGATTATTACTTTAGTATATAAAAAAAAAAAAGTTTGTTTTGCCATTGGTAATACATCAATCTTTTTTTTCTTTTTCATATGTTTCAACAATTACAACAAATAAAACAACATCAATAACACTATTTTTGTATCCTTTATTAAATATCTTAATTCCGTACAATATAAATATTATTTCGCATGGATAAAATTCGTGCTAACCAATTTTATTTTTTACTTTCAAAAAAAAAAAAAAAAGTATGGTGATGTAATCGCCACAATCTGGGGGCTGCAACAAATCTATCCTTTTGTTGCTTAGTGTTAGTAAAAAAAAATTATGGTAACGAATACTTGTGTGGGGGACTGAGCGGAGAACACAATCATCGGCTGATTATTTAGGTTTTTCCAAATAAAGTTCATTCTAAAATTATGTAATTTCCGATCATCTCCTAGTCTATATTTAGTCTCGAGTTATTACAATCATTGTTGTTCTCGGAATACGAATGGCTACTGCGCCATCATACTTCGATTATTATCATTATAATAAAAAAAAAAGTTCTTTATTATTATTCAAGAGTATATATATATATAAAAAAAACTAATTACACTACTTACTAAATTAACTTACTCATTTTCTCAAAAAATAAGGAAAAAGAAAAAAACATTAAAAATGAAAATAAAAATCCAAAATTGTACTGCGACGGCTACTAATTAATTAACTAATTACTTAATTTAATCTCAATTGAAAATACTGTGCTTTTGAGTACTATTAGTTTTTTCTCACCAAACCAACTATACATGCATATATATTTAAAAACAATATATTATATGCGGTTGTATTTATATTTTATAACGAATATTCATAGGTAAAATGGAGAATTAGTTGTGATTAAATCATTCTTTACCTATTTTCATTAATTGAAAAAAAAAGAAATGGTTTAAAATTTACATAAAAAAAAAAAATTAAAAATTAAAATTTTGAGTATCGTTAATCTAAATCCGTAGGCGATTGTGCTACACTACCGCTAGCACTTTGCTCTGATTTTCGCCTTTCTCTTATTTGATCTCTTTCACGTTCACGTTCTGAATGTGTGGATCTAGGTGAATGTGTTTCCTCCCTTCCGGGTGATGAGGTCTTGGTTCGTTTTAAATCTTCGCGGTTACGTTCATCTATCTCATTTTCTCCAGATTTTGGCGAGAAAGACCTTTTTTGCCCTGAAGCAGATGATGATGCTCCACCTTCACCAATGCTAACCAAGACATCTGCCGCTGCTGTACCATCATCGTAATCTTCGTCAACTTGCCGTGCTGTAGATGAAATTGATGGTCCACCTCTATCAACAGACGTCCTTATTGCTGGTAATATTGGTTTATCTTCATGGGGACTAGGTGGACTGTTCGATTGATGACTATCTATAATGCGTGGCAAAATTGGGGATCTTGGTGGGGAATGTGAACTTTGCTGCTGCTGCTGCTGCTGTTGTTGTTGTTGTTGTTGTTGATCATCTTGAAATGAGATTGGTTTAGGAAGTTCTCGATTAGAATGTTGATCTATGGAAGATTTACGTTCTTCATTAGCAATACTCGAGACTGGACTGTGAATGTCGTTTCCATATGCACTCTCCCTAACAGGAGATTCCAAGTTAACTGTGGGTGGACGTTGTTGCTGCTGTTGCTGCTGCTGCTGCTGCTGCTGCTGCTGTTGTTGTTGTTGTTGTTGTTGCTGTTGCTGTTGCTGTTGTTGTTGTGAAGGTCCCTCGGCAACTTTATTAATTTCTGGTAAATGAATAGGAGATGATCGACGTATAGGATGATCTTCTTGACGATAGGGGGTGAATGGTGGAATTTTATCATCAACCGAGCCACCATCAACGTGCATTCTATGATCGAGCTGATCAATCTGAGGGTGACTATTCAAAATTGAAACTCTTCCATGATCGTGACCAGAGGTAACTGCAGTTTCTTCAGGTTTGGATGGAGATTCTCGATAATCGATGTGCATCTTGTTATGATCATACATTTCGGAATCACGACGATCACCGATCGGAGGAGAACGAGTAATTTCATGATGAGGAGGTTGATGATAACCTGAATGCTGTGAGCTACCGTGTTCATTAATCCTTGGTGAAGAAGGATAAGTAGGACGTAATTGTGAATGGGGTTCAGGTAATTGAGGAGAATATCTCGGGCGTCGATTATCATCTTGAATTTGAGGAAGCGTCGGAGGCGGTGACGAACGTTTATCTGAACGTAAAGGCGTTTGTGATTGTTGTGATTGGTGAGGCGTTATGGGTCTTTGATCGTGTGGAGACATGACTGAATTATTAATTTGATGAATTGGTGGTGTAGGTGGCCTTGGTTCACGGAGATGGGGTGGTTGAGGTGCATATGATCCGGAGGGAACCGGACTTCTCCTTGAGAGTGACATTGGAGTTGACATGGGAGGTAAATCACCTCTTTGCAATTGAGACAAGTCTCCTCTTGACATTGGAGGTAAGTCACGATGATTATCTCCATGAGCATGAATTGATGATAATGAAATAGGTGGATGGGGTTGCTTATTTTCTTGTCTACTTCCATATGTTGGCATACCAGGAGGTCCCGGTGGGCCAGGAGTTGGCTGTGCAAAGGTTGGAGGGTTACCAAGCATTGATGGACCATTCGATTGTTGATAAGCTTGAGGATTAACATCCTGAGGGATTGGCGCGGTGGTTTGTCCTCCTTGAGCCTGCTGAGTTCTTAGCATTTGTAACCTTTGCTTTATATGAGGGTTCGCAGGATCCAACTCAGCAGCACGATGATAGGCATCTAACGCGTCATTGATTTGATTATTACAAGATTCGTAAAGCGTGCCCAGATCGTACCACACTTCACTAATAAATGGATTCAAACGAATTGCTCTGCTATAAGCATCCAGGGCATCGCGGAACTTCATTATCATGAGGGAAAATTTTTTATCATCAGTTAAAATTACTTATAAAACGATAACTTTTTTTAAATAACCATAAATACGCACCTGATTAATTTGATAATAAAGGACACCGATGGAACACCAAAACGTTGGATTACGCCCATCACGATAGCTACGTTGTAAAATCATAATAATAATCTTCGAATGAATATTTATCCAAATGGACGTTCTTTTGAGTATAACAAGAGAGAGATACTTACACAGCTTGTTGATATGCTTCGTAAGCCTTATTATATTTTTGTTGGGCCATATAACAACGTCCCAGAAGATACCACGACTGCGCATCATTTCCATCTATAATTAAGGAAATCAATCAGCACTCAGGTTTTTTATAAAGATTGCAACCCATCGGTTTTACCGAGAATGAACGTAACAATTATTTACTCACCAGATTCTAGTGATTTTGTTAAGTATGAGATAGCCAAGTCTTGATTGCTGAAACTTGCGCTTTGTTGATGGTAAAGCCATCCCAATTGCTGAAGCACTTTGGCATGATTTGGATTATCAGCCAAGACACGCTCATAAGCTTCTTTAGCAGCACCAAACTAAAAACGCGTTAAATTAAAAAAGTTAGCAAGAATCAAATAGTTTTAAAGGAAATCTAAAAGCACGAATCCTCACATTTTTTTGCTGTTCATACACATGACCAATTTGAAACCATATATCAACCTCAGTTAAAGGTCTCGGTGGATTATGAAGAATATATTTAAAACACTAAGAGAAAATATCGTAGGAAAAAAAAAATAATAACTAATGAATGAGACTTCATATCATAACGTAATGAAATGAATTGAATTGAATGAATGCATGCATATATGCAAACATACCTCTAAACTCTGATCGTATTTTTGTTGTTGCTTATATATAATACCAAGTCTAAAATAAATTTCATTGGCCTTCTCGAATTTTGGTTCCATTCTCATCACCTGGGAAAAGGCTTCCTCTGCATGTTCAAGCGAACCATACCGATCATATAAAATACCAATGCCGTACCAGAGTTTTGGCTCCTATCGTAAACAAGAAGAAATTCATTAATACTAATGTTAACACCTCCAAACAAAGCGAGTGAATTAAGTTAATGGAACAGACTTTTGGATTAGGTAAATGATAAAGAGCCTGTTGGTAAGCATGATAAGCTTTCTGTAGGTCATCCATCATCAAGTAGCAATGACCTAGGAGAGAAGTAGAATAAATCGGACACGAGATAGATTATCAGTAAATGAATGATGAATGTATGAGACGATTTAATTTGAGCAAATTAGAAATTTCACCTAATGCTCCCCAAATCTCTCCATTTGTTTGATCAATATTTAAAATCCTTTGAAAATAATCAACGGCCTATTAAAAAGTGAACAAAAAAAGGTGTTAAAACTCATTTCAAGGCTCTATTTACAAAAGAAACAACCACTGCGATGGTTACCCTCGGAAATTGTTCCCTCCCTCGACAAAGAGCGGCTATTCCTGACAGAGCAGCAATAGAATAGGCATTATGACGTAATGCAGACTCGTAAGCGCTCATGGCCCGATCATACTCTTGCATCAACTCTGCAGCCGAGCCTATGATAATACATGAAAGAAAGCAACACAATAAGATTGATAAATGTAAAATAATCGTTCGAATATTATATCTTGAATTATAATAAACTTTATAATTATTATGACTAAATTTAAGTTGGGAATTCGGTTATTATTTTTAGTTCATAAAATTATTAGTCATATATAAAAGCACAAACTTTGATGGCTCCCGTATAACGAGACTATTGTTATAAATGCACTAGATAAAACCTTATGTGCATAACGGGTTAAGGTAAACAAACACCAAAGCCTTAGCTTTACAAGTGAAAAGTCACTCGCGCTTGGAGTTTTTGCAAATGTAATTCTTTGGTGTTTTAATCAACACCTACCCATCTGTAACCATGTTTGTTCGTTGGCCTGTCCTAGTCTATGAATGCTTGCGTTTTGACCGTTAGACGACATTGACGATAATTATTTATAAACGTCTAAAGGTCAGAGATAGTAAACTATAAAAGTAAAATGTCGTTTTTTTTTTTTTAAAAAAAAAAAAAATAATAATAATAATAGTAAAGCTTTAGGAAAAAGTGAGGAAAAAAAAAAAATATGAATAAGAAAGGAGACAGAAAATAATTTTTTTGGACAGTCTGTCGTAAGGGGTGAAAAAAAAGTTTAACAAAACATATATTAATAAGAACAAAAAAAAAAAAAAAAAAAAAAGGTTGAGGACTCGGTAAGTAGTATCACCGCCACTAAACTTGCATAAGTCGTCAAGATGGTATGGGCATAGTAGATATTTAGTTTCACAGATCCTGAGTTTATATCAATGTAAATATTTTTTATATTGTACTACAAAGGTTTGAAGGAAGAAAGTTAAAGTAAAGTGATATATAAAATATGTGGATGTTAGTTGATTCGTTAATTAGTTAATTAATGTAATATATTATATAATATGATTTTATATAAATTGAATTGTCTATCTATATGTAGGATATTTCCATGAAACAATTAGTGTTAACGCAATTTGGTTAGAGCAAATTTTTTGGGCTAGAGCTAAAAAGACAACAGGTGAAAGACGAGAAATGACAAAGTGAAAGCCCTGCAAAGTTGAACGCAATTCGCATTTGTTTATTAATTTTACTATATTTTCTTATAATGTATTATTAGGATGTATATCATAAACAACAAACACTGAATTGCATATTCATTTATATTACACATACAATAAGTTTAATATATTCGGAAATGTAATAAGCATAAGACTGTGATTTTCTTATAGTCTTATAGTTTCATAGTTTTTAGTTACCCAACTGACAAAAATCCTTTATAATTGACACATGAGATCTTTTAAAAAAATTAATAAAAATGTTTAGTTTATATTATCATTTTTTCTGTTGAAGAGTTTTTAAAATGATTAATTATTATTTTTAATTACAAATATTAAATAAATTTTTTTTTTTATTTGGATTTATAATCAATATTTTAAATTAAATCTTTTCATATTGGTTCAACAAAATGATAGCATATAAAATCCCTTCTTTTCTCCGGAATGTTTGACGCAATCATTCTATTCTATTGTTTTTAAAAAGTTCATTATTTTATTTTTGAACTTTTTTGTTTCAAAATTCCGTCTCCTGTAACCCAATCACTGCTAATCACGTGTGTATGTGATCTATCATCCATGCATCTTTCATTTTTTCATGCATGCGGACTGATCGAGAAATTAATCCGTTTTCGGCCTTGTTTCTTCGTTATTACATGGCTTTTACAAACACACACAGTGAAACCTTAAGATCGTCAACTTGGGTTCCTTTGGTTGCGCGCGTTGACGATCCTTCGAGAGAAGAACCTTTTCTTGTCAAATCTATTTTCACAGAAAATTCTTATCTTGTATTATTTACTGATCTACGGTATGTCTGGTTTGAAGAATTATTTGACGGTGAGATAAAAAAACGTTTCCAGGAAAGCAACTGAATATACTTTTTTTTTTTTTTTTTTTTTTTACCATTCCTTTTTTTTTTTTTCCTCAACGACAATTAATTAAACGAAAAAAATTTGATTACGAATAAAACAGGAGATAAAAGTCTCTCTTGAGAATGATCGATTATCGGAATATATTCAATTTTTATCAGAATATTTGCTTCCTCAACGTTCCGATATAACTCATAAAGTTACTAAAGGTCACGACGGCACGGTAAAGTTTCGAAATTTTATTGTAATAAATGAGACTTATCCATTTAATTAAAATGTGAAATTTACTTTACTGCGCTTGGATTATAGTTCTTGTTTGAATCAAAAAGAACTATTGGTCCGATGGAATTGGTTTGGAAATTTCATTGTGATTTGATCCCTTCATCACTTCCTATGAAGTCGCCAAATTCTAATGTGCAGCAAATCGATGGTGTTACGGTTTTATATACTCATTTCATTCTACCTCAAATATTGATAACTTCTGCTTATAACAAACAATTAGAAATTTTACATAATGCAATCAAATCAAAAGAGGATGAATTTAATGAAACTGTACGCTTAATGTCTTTGGTAAGGTTACAACATAAGTTTGACAAAAATGCACGTAAGTTATCCGACGATTTCTCATTTTATTCAAACAATGTACTTTTGTGATGAACAAGTTTATCAATTACAGATACAGAACCACCATCTTTTGATCCAAAATCTTCATATGATGAAATTGAAAAGGTTCGTACTTAATGATAATCGCGTCTTACTTCATCCCTTTCTCGTTACCAAAGCGATTCTTTTTTTTTAGAATATTCAGAATTTTGAGGTTCTTGATTCATGCGCGCCATTAAACATTTGTGAAGGTCCTATCTTCTCAAAATTATTCAAAACCGCGACAGAACGCGTTATTGCGCAAAGTATATCATCTCCCCTTTTTTTTATTAATACATTTATCAAAACGTTTAATTTAAATTCTTTATTAATAGCCAAGGTTATACCGGAAAATAAGTATCTCCAAAAAACATCATATTCGTCAGGAGCGCCCTCTATTACCACGTTAGAAAATATATCACAAATACCAACAATGAAATTACCGAGTTTATCAGATTCACAATTATCAAAAATGTTTACACCACACGTATTATCACTTGAAGATGGTGTTAACCCTTCACAAGCTTCAACGATCGAATTACCAACTATTGATTCATTTCATGATTCACAATCCAAAGATGAAGAAGAATTGACTCGCATTCAAGCTGAAGAAGAGATCGAAAAGGCTCGAAGGGTGAGTTGATCAATGTTTCTTTTTCAAAAAGGTTTTTATATTTATTTGGATTTATGTTTTTAGGCGGCTGAAGATGCAAAGGCTAGAGAGCGTGAAAAAAGACAGCATCTTAAAGATTTGGCCGTAAAACAAGCCGAAAAGGCCGCAAAGAAACGCAAGAAAGTTATTTAAAGCTTGAATACATATATATATATTTTTTTGTAGATATAACTTTGAAATTTTAATTTTAATAGTTTTTAATTTTGTAAAATGTATATAAAAGAACAAATTATTAAATATTATAGAAATAATTTTTCTTCTAGACCCAGTTGAATTTAAATAAAGTTATTTGTTCTTATATCTAACAGGTGGTTTTAAAATCCTTACAGCATCTTTAGAAAATGTGTAGCTTAATCCAGTCCATATTGTTGTTGCGGCAACAGTATATCTAAATTTTATCAAAATAAATGATGGTCTTAATAAAGCGACCGACAATAAAATTAACTATATCAATATTATACTTACTGTAATGCTATTAAAGCTTGAGCATCCGTCCATCCAAAAACCGGACTAGCAAGTGTAACTCCCATCAGAGTTAACTGTAAGGCCGTGTTTATCTTGCAACAAAAAAAAAAAAAAAATTTGTACTCAAATGTGTTAAATCTTTCGACATACAGACGCGCATATTTTGTTTCTTTTACCTTGCTAATTAGTGTTGGTCTTACTTCTGCGGATGGAATTGACATGTCAAAATATCTCCCTAATGTTTTCTAATTTAAAAGAATAAATTGCGTGTGTTCTTTTTACAAAAAGGAATTTGTTTTTTTCAGTGAAACGACAAATACCGGAGGTGGCAGTGAGATATATCGATAATAAAACGATGCGAAAATCAATCCTACGTCGCGTCCCAATATCACAGCGGCGATTGGAACTATCAACCGAATTTCAATTTAAATATACATGAAATAAAGTGAGAGAGAGAGAGAAAAGGAAAAAGGAACTCACTTGGTAATAAATCTTTCTTTGCTAATACAATAGTCAAAATAGTCATTAATATTTTATCAGCCGCTGGGTCCATCAC